GCTACATGACGGTACATACTTCATTGTTGATGAAGTAGTTCAAGTCTAAAGGGATTTAAGTGATTTCTCATTCCGTTTAAGATTTGACAATATAGTCTCATTGCAGCACATGTTTGTGCCTTTCACGACCTAAAAAGATCTTTTGTTGTTAACATTTTCGATTGATACGTCATTTTTTGTGTTATCTGTGTAATAAACACCGAAAGTTGTTATAGTGATACGACTTCGTGCCTATATTAACTATACGCTCGTATTACGCACCTACAGGATAATTTTGTTACCTATTGCAGAATACTGTTATAATTATGGCAAAGAGAAGCGTCTAATTTAATGTTCCTTTGTTAATTCAGGTGCTTTGGATTTTGGATGGAATGACTTCACCGTCTAATACCAACAATTATACCAGTGCCCTGTCTGGTCTTCCTACGCTAAATTTATCTTAATATAGTAAAGCGCTTAAACGTCCAACACAGACACATTAAGCGACGGAAAGATATGTTGAAAATATATGTCACTTTACATCGCACTAGTATTGGAAAAGAAAGGTTATATGTACAGGGACATTTTCCAATACCAGTGGTTTGAGGTTGAGTCTAGAATATTTCATTATTGCCAAAGGAGTGATTTGTTTTGTGTTTAATCATTGAGGCGAGTTTTTGAACTGAAAATACCTCAAATTGTCATTACAAACAAATAGTTGTCACGTTAAGTGAGAGTGGTCTGTGACATTACGTTATTCAAAATGTTCTATAATTTAGATTGAGGGCACTGTGTCTTTTGAGACATAGTTTTGTGTGTGTTTGATAGCAGAACATTGAAATAAAATGTTGATAAATTTCCGTCGCTGACTGTGTCAAGAATGAATAGTCATGATAGATAGAGTTAAGACACAAACATATGAAGCAATGTATTACTACATGACGGTTTACACTTCATTGTTAATGAAGTAGTTCAAGTCTTAACGGGTTTTAAGTGATTTCTCAGTCCCTTTACGATTTGAAAAAAGTCTCATTGCAGCATATTTTTATATCTTTCATGACAAGAAAAGTGTATTTTAGTAGAATGTTGATGTAAAGATAAATTGTAAAAAAACTACCGCTTTAAGGGTCTTCGTACAGTTACCACGAGAAATTGTGAAAACGTTATGTAGTTGTTATGGACGGTGATCCATGAGGAAACAAAATGTATGGAATTGCATTTTTTTGATAGTTCAGAAATAATCTGAGAAAGTTACCAACTTCTGTTCACATCCCTTTGGTTGAACGAAACCTAAAGTTCGACGACCACGCAAATCAGCGGTATACTAGTACACAATAGTTTACATCAACACGCTACATGAACTGTATTACAGGCTACTTGCATTATACCTATTAAAATACTCTCATTAATAACTTTATATTTTATATATCTCTTTATTATAGCAGATCTTTATAACACTCTAGTTAAATTTACGTCCTAAATACGAATAATGCATCACAGTAGCTGACCTCACTATGCTAAACTTATCCTAATGCAAGAAGACGCTTACGTGACCAACACAAACATATTCAGCGACGGAAAGATATGTTGAAAATATATGTCACTTTACATCGCACTCGTATTGGAAAAAGAAAGGTTATATGTACAGGGACATTTTCCAATACCAGTGGTTTGAGTTTGAGTCCAGAATATTTCATTATTGCCAAAGGAGTGATTTGTTTTGTGTTTAATCACTGAGGCGAGTTTTTGAACTGAAAACACCTCAAATTGTCATTACAAACAAATAGTTGTCACGTTAAGTGAGAGTAAAATGTTCTATAATTTAGATTGAGGGCACTGTCCCTTTTGAGACACAGTTTTGTGTGTGTTTGATAGGAGAACATGGAAATAAAATGTTGATAAATTTCCGTCGCTGACTATGTCAAGAATGAATAGTCATGATAGATAGATTTAAGACGCAAACACATAAAGCAATGTGCTACATGACGGTACATACTTCATTGTTGAAGAAGTTGTTCTAGTCCAACGGGGATTAAGTGACTTCTCAGTCCCTTTAACATGTTATATCTATATGACAATAGTCTTATTGCAGTACATTTTACGTCTTTCATGATAAAAAAGTTATTTGTGTTATTAACATTTTCGATTAATACGTCATTCTTTTGTGTTATCTGTGTAATAAACACCGAAAGTTTTTATGGTGAAACGCCTTTTAGTAAATTAATTATGCTAACGGTATGTACAGGCTACTCGCATTATATTTAATCAAGTACATTGAATTTCTGTGCAGTGCGGTGAGTCGTCACTTGCTTGATAATTATTATACAAATAAAATTTAAAAATCACTATTTTCGGTTCCTGTGCTTCTTTTTATATGTACATGTTCTTAGCTTATTTTATGGATTGAAATACATTTTCATGTATTTTAATATTAACTTTAGATAACATGTAGCAGTATACCTAAAAGTCGAAGAGAACTGACCACTGACCCAAGAAGAAACAGCTGTTACCTACTGAATGGAAATGGAATTAATTTTAAGTACCTAATATCTATCATATTATGCGTTTAGTAAATATCTAGTCTATTTATACTAGTTCAAGCCAATTAGCCAATGAACTTCATCGCATATTAATGCGGATATTTACATTATTTACCTAATAGACGATTACTATCCTAACTTATAATTATAAATTATATAAGTAGACATAATTATTACCTACTTTTTAATATAACATCATACACCTATCTCATGAGATAAATCAGGGATAATATAGCATATCTTGATTAAGTAGAGTATTGTAGAATAACCTAAATATTACAGAGTTTAAATACTTAAGTACATAATAATACGACAGATTTTTTATTTTAGACATATTCACGATTATTTACATTCGAAATAAATATTTTACCGTCCACCTCGATGCCACGGTATCACGGTATCACGATTCATCGCAAATCTTTGATTATTAATTTCTCAGTTTCGTATATAATCGGTATGTTAAACAATTATGCCTATTTATCCGATAGGTAAGAGGTAGCCCTAGATGTTGTAGTATTCCTGACTACCTGGTAGCAACGTTCAATTGTGCTACGTCGTTTGTTGTTAAAAGGACTACAATGGGTACCGATGATTATGTCGAAATCAGTACCACGTACATCTGAACTACACTCACGTTGAATTGACCAATCACACGTCGTTCCTACGTTATATTCATTTAGAAGATTATTTTCGGGCCGAGATGGAAACCGAACCCACACTTGGTCGAAACTAGTATTTCTATTATATTACTTTGATAAAATTATCTGCTATGTATATGAAATATATTATTATGAATAAGTAAGTTACAATGTAATAATGCAAAATGTCGAAGGTGCAGAATATTATAAAAGATACAACTACTATGTTTAAGCCAGACTAACAACTTTAAAAGAGACGCAATTCGGTGATCTGAAAGCCATATTCAAATAAGATAAAACGTTATTATTATTTTTAATAAGACTCGACTTCTCAAGTCAGTATTCAAAGGAATCGTCTAATTTTTCAGTAATTAGAAGTATTTACACATTCAATTATAGAACAAAACATTCCATTAGAAAGTTTAGAGCCAATCTCGATGGTATTGCTATCCGAATATTAACCTTTCCGCTTAGTAATGGGAGACCATTTTTATTGATTTTCAAATATCGTTTTAACGATTCGCAATTTGACTACGATTACTAAACACTACAGTGAAGTACTTGGTGCTTGCATCTCCTGTGGCATTCTATCAGCTGGTGAACCGTCCACAAAGTTGTATAGTGGACAATGTTTTATTCTAAGTAGGTAGTACCTAAGCACCTATCTTACGCTACTTGGTTGTTCACGACGAACATCCCCTACGCATGCAGTACATTACTTGACTTTGTTTACACTACATAAATAGATTTCGAGTGCCAATTACATCTACAAGTATTAAGTATAATATGTAAATACAACTTATTATTATACGTTTAATCCAGGATCTCATCCACCTACTTGCATAAGAAATATTTTCCATTAATCTCTAACCATCACAGACTTTTGTCAATCACTTAAAGTCCTTTTATTTAACTTGATGCCTTTGATTTACCTGTAGAGCAGATGTTATCAATAATTTGATATCAGGTATTAAGAAAGTTGTTAAAATTTTAATGAGGCAGTTCGTGCAAAATCACTGGTTTTATAAGAATCTTTTAGAAAAATTGGGTGGAAGGGTCGTATTTCGTGCTGCAGTAGGGCAGGTTATGGATGCTAGTTATCTGTCTGTGTTGAAAGAACCGTAGTTTTGTGAAGAAACTCGAAGGACTGCTATCACGCCACGTTATTGTAATTACATTATTCTACCAGTCCCTGGAACTTCTTAGTAACAGTTATTTCTACACAGCAAAATTTTTGCTAGGAGACGTATCGCGTTTCAATAGGTAGGTACAAAGGTAGATGCACAGGTATCAGTAGAACGTGTACATTCAAAAGCAATCAAATTATGGGTCAGCGGGCGAGTTCAAGTCCAAACGCGATTTCCTGCGGTCTTTGCCGAGGGACAACTGTCCTGAAGTGGACCGTTGCAAGGAAGAAGACCGCGGACGTGCCGTGTCAGACTTGGACTTCTTCACTTTACTGCCCCCGCTAGCTGGTTGCTTACCTTTCAACGATGATACTGATATCACGACATCAGTGGAAACTCCGTCTTGCTCTAAACAAATAAAAATAATACTATCAGACCTAGAAACAAGTAGGTAATGAAACCGCCTACATGAATACGAACAGCATTTGGAACTTACCAGTACGTTTGATGACTTCTCCTGCGTTGTTTAAGAAGAATTTTGGTTTGGAATCCTTTTCTTTTTCCTTTTCCTTGTCTTTCAGAGATTCCTAGGAGCAAAAAATCATCAATTACCAAATTGTTTTAATAACTTTATCGACTGTTAATCTCACTTTTATTAAACTTACCTTTGATCTACTAGATTTGGAAGCAGAGTCAGTGCTTCCGCGCCACCACGGTCACTGAATCTCACAAAAGCCCCGCCCGGGCTCCTTACTGGGGGTGGACGCCTCAGCGTCGACTACATCTCCTTCAGGCTTTGGCGATCCTGTCCCCGATGTGGTAGCTCCCCTAATAACAATAATTTTATTTATAACTTACAACTCTAGCTGTATAAGTAAAACGACAAAAAAATCTAATCGTGTAGGCGCTTACGTCATATCAACCCGGACGGTATTGTTATTCTGTTGGTTACGCATTGCCAAGGTAGACACCATCGGTGGGCGCTGTGGTTTGTTTGCGAGTAATCTTTCGATCTCTATCATCATTATCGGCGTGAGCTGTGGTACGATCTGAAAATGTATAAATTTTAAATCTCGGTCTAATCTTGTTAAACGAACGTTTTTTTAATGTACTGAGGAGTAAGGACTATACCTGGAGAGCGTGAATGTTCTCTTTAAATTGTTCAACGCTGGTAGCACCCAGTAGCAAACAGTTGACTGACTCGTTCTTTAGACACCAAGCCACAGCCAATTGGCTCATTGAGCAATCTGTTTAAAATAAAAGTTCTGTAATGCACACACACAAGTGTTGTAATAAATCAAAAAAGTAAAAAAGATACAAACTTAATGTATTGGCTAGGTTCGAAAGATCACGTAGCTTGTCTCCGTATGTGCGTGGTTCTTCTCCAGTCACTTGATCCTTACTGCTAGAGATGGGCAACTGCAAGGAGTCCTATTATTAATTTTATACAGTAATGACCGTTCAGAAGAGAATGAAATTAATTATTAAACTTTTTATTGTAGTGGTAGGTACCTCAGGAACTGCAAGATCCTCTTCACACCAGCTGAAGGTACTATATTTTCTATTGAATCGTGATTTTGCGAATAGACCAGTAATCTCCTCGCGGCCTAGGCCTTTCCCAGTAGTAATGGCTGACCATGCCATCATACCTGGTACACAAAATTAACATAATTTAAGTATTCATAAAGTACGGTTAAGTATTAGGTACTTTGCATTTAATTTTATGTATCACTCACCTACACCGATCTTATGATACAACTCGGGCATATAAAGCTCAGGTTTTTCTCGGCAGAACATATGATATTCTGTTTGTTCTACTATTGGAGTTATGCAGTTGAACTGACGGCAGTTGCTATACGCATCCATTATCTGCAAGTTAATGAACAGAGTCAACAATGTCACCAATGAAGTAGCGGCAAAGGTAACATTAGAAAAATGTAATTCGTTTCTTCACCTCTGCTGGTGTCCAGCGTGCTGTTCCCCAATACATGACCCATCCTTGATTTATCACGAAATTCATGGCTCGAACCAACTCTGCGGAATTATTTCTTTTTAATCCTGATCTTACTAAACTCTACCACCAAGCACAATATTTAATAAATTCTCCGTGTCGACTAACCTTCCATAGGGCAGACGGGATCGACTTTGTGCAGGAGTACAACGTCAATGTACTCCACTTGCAATCGGGACAATGACGCTTTAACACTCTCAACTATGTGTTTTCGAGAGAGACCTCTTTCATCTGACCTGTTATTAGTATGAGCAAACCTAGTAAATGGAGAGTTCACAGTGAGTCAGCAATTAGCGAGCGAGAAGCGTAGAAGAAGCGACAGTGTAACGTATTGTCAGCAAGTACCCTAACAGCAAAGTTAAGCTTACACCACTCATCTTTATATGTTACAATATAAATACTCCTTGGTCGCTACTAAAAATGTAATCGGTATTAGTAAAAATATGGCGACAACATCAAAATGCTTGGATAAACTAAAAACACGTTCAAGATAATAACTAAGGAGACGCTAAAGTCACTAGATTTATGTCCATTCCGTGTAGAAATCTAAGAAAGTCGGTAGTGAGGGACATCTATTATCATAGGTCGAGCAAACAAGTAAATACACAGGACGATGCAGTAAAGTCGGGTGAAGAGTAGAGAGAGGCACTTGTAAAACCAATACTTACTTGGTGCTCCAATATACTTTGGTGGTGATGATAACACTCGTTCTCCGAACGTTTCGCTTCTTTAGCACCCTGCCCAACTCAGCCTCTCCCTTGGCTATTTAAATAATAGTTTTGTTAATTATAAGCTTTTGTTCATAACAAAGACCGATTAACAGATTTACGTGATATTATTACAGGCACAGTATCATCTCGAGATTATGCATACATATAAATATGAAACCATCGACTGCGCGGTGAGTGAAGTGGCTGGGCGGACCGTGTACATAAAATATCAAAAATATACAAAACTAGCTTCTGCCCGCGACTTCGTACGCGTATCCCATTTTTTCCCGTCCCCGTTCGTGATTTTCGGTAAAAGTAAAAAAAAATGTTGGTTAAAAAGTATCCTATGTAGGTCTCCTGGCTCTAAGCTACCTCCCTACCAATTTTCAGCCAAATCTATTCTGCCGTTCTTGAGTTATAAGTGGTGTAACTAACACGACTTTCTTTTATATATATAGATATCGAGATAATCTTAAAGTCAAATTTGGACTAAAATAAAATAATGAAAATGCTAACCACAGTGTGCTTCAGACAAATCAAAAAGATTGATGCCGTTCTCCAGGGCGGTCATGATGACGTCTTCAGCGCAATCTTCGTTTATCATGGCCCATATTCCTAGGCCGATGTTGGGCACTCGTAAGCCAGATTTGCCCAAATTCTTGTATCGCAATCCTGGAGTCACCACCGATGGCATGGTTGTGTGATTTCCCATATAAGTCGACATGTGTCGCGACACATTTACCTCGCCGGCTGTGTAAAAATCATCTCTGTCAGCTTATGCAAAATCATTTATTCAATGTTTTCCTATTATTGTCATTCAAATCACCCATTAGATTTCGATCACCTTTGTAGATATACATGTGTGTTGATCAACTAGCAAAATGAATAGTTTTATTTAAAGATATGACAAAAAATATGAGCGTGCCATAAATGAATGCACGATTAGCGCGGTGGCTCGGCAACCGGCTGCCGCGCAACGTGTAGCGGGTTCATTCACAAATTGTTGTATGTTTGTAAACGCACCCACGACACAGGAGAAAATACTAGTGTGGGGCAACGTTTTAAAAAACAATCCAATTGTGTTTTGTCCACATAATTGTTTAGATAGTTCTTAGGTCTAATGATAAAATAAAGCTATGAAATTTAATATACATAATATGTTTATTTTTTAATTAAGATTTATTTCACGGAAGAACTGAATTAGATTGCTTTGGTTTCATAAGCCAAGTTTTTTGTTGTTGTTTATAATATATGTACGTGCGGCAGGCGAATAATACACCCCTGTCTAAACGATATATCATTCAGCATCTTCGGAGTCATATGTCAACGGGCTGAATATGTTATGTAAATTTTCGAGAACAGGAAAATACAAGTCAATTGATACATTTCTAGAAATATCGACAAGAATTTTGCATTATTTACGAGATGTTTGTTGAATTGCAAATTATTTAGGTTCAGCTTTGCACTTATCATAAGCGAAGACGAATATTTCTTCGATCAACCTACAGGTGGATGACACATGAAGTAAGTTGTTGCTCAAAATTCTATTTTAAAATAAATAATAGAAATAGAAATTGATATTTGAATGTACCTTGGTCCAACATCTGTTGAGAGTTAGCACTAAAGTCGTCCATACAATCCAGGGACGCGATGGGTGCCCGACAACTAAACAAATATAAACATTTTATAATTAGTTTGTCGCCAATTCCACTTTAACACAATTTTGATGAGAAACGTGTTAATGTTTATCAAAACGTATTTCGTTTTAAAATACACGTTGCAATGTTCTGTTTCGTGCTGTTCACTGAAACAATATTACAGAACTAATTTACTTTTTATTGAAAGCGTGGCGGTGTTTTAAAAATAACATCACTGAAGAGCTAAGAAAGTTTGAAACTGTCTAAATTCTGTAATTTATATTCCGCCAGTCTATATGCTTATTATTTTTTCGATTCATAGGTATTCTTATCTTATATTTTGAATCTTTTAATTTTGTTACGTAGATACTGTAACCGAGACCATTGCTGTAGTGGTGTCGTTATCGATACTTTTCTTTATTTATGAAAGTAAAATGGCGCTGTAATCTTGGTAAATCGTTCGAGTGATGGCTCCATTGTTGCCCAAATTACCTACTAAATGACCTGAGTTACCTATTCAGTGTTGGTAAACCTACCTAGGTATACTTACAAGACATAATTATTTTTTAGTCTTTTATTGACGTTTTAGTTCTAATTTATGTGCGAGCTACGTAGATGATTTTAACCATTCGAAAAAATAACTCTAGTTCTAGGTCTAATGATAAAATAAATTTTCTACCTACTTTAAGCGTATATCGAGTTTTCTAAATGAGTAAAAACGCTATTTTTAATGAGTAAGGCCTAAAGCATTTTATGTCCATGTTTTGAAGCTATGGCTAAAGTCTAAAGTAGCAGTTTGTCGCCATTATCACTAGACGTGATTTTGTTAACTGTCGCAGTTAATGAACATAACGTATTTACATGAATTTAAATTATTATTGTGACATGCATAATAGTCGCAATGACCGTTTGTGATGTGTCGTCTTTCTATTATTAAGTGTTTTTTTTTTATAATCGGCCTAAATCAGTGAGACGATGTTTCTAAAAATATCGAAACTGAAAGAAAAACGAAGTAAGAAGTAGATACAGAATAAAAGGTACTAGGGTTATAGTGAAAGCGAGGAAGTAGGTGTTAGGCAAGGTGGTGAAGAGACAATGTGACACAGTAATATTCTTATCACCATACCTGTGGGTCGTAGCCGGCCAACTCTGTCTCTGCCATCAGCATGAGGCAAGCCAAGCGATCATATATCTATCGCTGCTCATGTCTTAGGCGGCTGATCACCTGTGGCGAGCTCCTCCATCATCTGACGTGGTTACGTAACGCCGCAAGGTGTAACAACCGTCTAAGATAAAAGCTGTCCGTGATACCTACTCGCATGCGAAGATCGCGGTGTGCGATGCTGCGTAGTGCGCTCTCAGCTTTATTTGCCATTGGGAGAAGACATAACATTGTAGATGACAACTGCAGTTCGCGTCGGCTGTATCGTTCTAGGCAAAATAGAGGTAGTATTCTGAGTCGAAGACGGCGTTTCATGCGAAAGTCGCTGAGCGCAATGTTGTCATGCAGGCGCTGCTGATGGTAGCAGTAGCGGTACGTCTTCTCCCTGTACGGCTGTCTTCGAACATACAGTTACCGATATATGGTGGGCATGGGGTTGGAGTCGACGCTCACGCTGTCTGGCGGCCCCAAAGGCGTGTGGGGGGTGCATCGGCTGATGGTGGACTCGCTGCGAGACATCTGCGAGCCCTCCTTGCCGCCACCGACCTCTGCCCCCTTGCATTGCATCTCGTGACGCCTCATTCTGCTCCTACGCTTAGCAACGGCATCTTATCTCCCTACAAACATCTTATCTGTAACGAAACGTTCATACGCCTCCGCCGCACACCGACCCACACATATACAACCCCACAAAGTCAACTCAAGGATAGGACACGGCGGGTTTAGTTAAGTAACACACTCAAGGAAATAGACACAGATACATGCAAGCCCTACGCTAACATCTAGTCAGCTAAGGGTACACAAAACCGAGTGATCCACGTCAAGGGAACATCTAAGCGTAGAACTATCGCGCTTGAAATTAAACAAAGACTAGGAACGTAGAATTGCCGATAAGTGATCACGAAAACCGAACCGAATCCACCAGAAGTGTCGCACTCACCAGGGTTGCCTGGAGAATCTACGTACTAAACATCTGATGTTGCGATGCGACACGTCGTCAAATATACTGCGACCCTTACGAGACTGTATTGCGGGTGTGGGGAGGGCACGGATACGACACCAAGCCGCAGGGTGGTGCCCCGCCTGTTCAAGTTCGCGCATGCGTGATTCGTTTCTACCGATTTGTTCTCTTTCTATTTTTATCCCCTAGCCGCCATTTTAAATTTTCTTTTGATGTTTTCGAAATAAATATTATACGCATAAACTAATATTTGACTAAGAAATAAGAATGTGCAGGTAGAATTTGTTAACTACGTAGATACTTCATTACTTTTCTGTAGCAGTCAATTATGTCGATCTAGCCCCTAGTAGACAAAGAACGCTAAAAGTATTTGAATATCTAATTAGGTATTGTTAGTAATCAACGGACTCGGTATTTTTTATGTGTAGAGATTTAATTAGGACATTACCTAGAGAATAAGAGTAACTTTATAATAGTACCTACTAAGTTACAGTAAGTACTCGTTCAAATTATCGCACTACCCTCAGAACTTTTTTACAGAGGTATAAAATGTAGAGCTGTGTAGGACTGCTAAAATTGAAAGGTCATTGAACTTACATTATAAAGCCTGTGTCCTTTTACAACACTGCTCAGCAAAGTAAACCTGGAAGACTAGAAAATCCCACTTCCCAATGGCGGATACCGAAATATTCTGTGATCATTTTACACACAATTATTGAAATGGAATCTAATATTCGCTTCAGCCTTTTCAGAGCAAAGTTTACATTATTTGTGTGTATTTTATGCAAAGAACATTCGGCACCAGCATTAGCAAGGGTGAAGACCTCGACTTACCCCTGGCAGGATGGCGGGCGGCCCAAGTCATCGTCAGCATTTGAACTTATATCAACGGTGGAGTTTTGCCAATGGTGCTCGCTGGTGACGTTGCATTCCGCGCTGACTGTAATAACGCAGCCCCCTGGGGAGCCACAGTCGCTGTCTAGGGAAGCGTCTGCGAACAAAGGATAATGTGTCCATAAGCTGCCCGCCAAAGTCACTCTGAGAATAGACCTACGTCCCGAGCCTACCCTATTTTACGGGTGTTGTATGAATGAAACATAACGTAAGTAAGTACGGTCAGCGGCGTGAACACCCACCTCAATCGCTTGGAAAATTTATTAATTTATGACTTAGAAAAGTTATTGTTATCTTTTTTACTGAGGAACGTTTGATCAAATGAACATGTCCCCTCAAAGGAGCACTAAATATTATTATGAACTATCTACGGATACTTCCAACATAACTAGTTCATTTATAAAATACAAGCTCCCGCCAGTGGCTTCGCCTGTGCTCTCGTGGGATTAAAAGTAGCCTATGTGTTATTCCAGATCATAATCTATCCATGTTCCAAATTTCAAACCGATCCCTACAGTCGTTTTGACGTGATTGAGTAACAAACATACAAACTCACACATTTTCGCATTTATAATATTAGTAAGAAGACTAGCGGCCCGCCCCGGCTTCGCTAAAATGCTATTTGCCGGTATTATCGATGAATATATCGAATCTTGCTTTTATACAAACTTTGTCCTAACAATAACGGACACGACACTAGAAATAATCATCCAATTCGATGGGCGTACCTACATAAATTATGGTGATCCATTTTAATAAATGTAGATTAAGATTTTTTAAATATGTACGTCGATAAGTTGAATTACATTACTACATGGAAGATAAGTGTTGGAAAATATTAAGTACCTAATAGCGACCCGCCCCGACATCGGTTATGAGTGTAATAAATCACTAATTAGGATAAAGGTTTATACATTAGTTTTATATGTTATTATGTATTTATATGGATAAATAAGGTTTATAATATACATAGAGTACTAATTATAAAAAAACTGTATCAAAATCCGCCGCGCGTTTAAAAGATTTATAAGTAGGGACAGACAGAAAAGCGATAGATATTATTTTTTGTCTTGAACAACCCCTAAAGATACCGGTTTCCTTGTAAATTAATCTAACTGTTTTTAATTAAGCACAACATTAAAGTAATGACTTACCTCGGCAAGGGCCGAATCTACTGAAGTTGAGGATGATCCCATCATCAATACTTTGGCTGGACTCCGGCTTGGTAAGCTGCGTGCTGCACGATTTTCTCAACATATTCTACGCGAAACAAATTAATCAATTAAACTTCAAGCACTTTTCATTCACAATTATTAGGAAATCTCAAAAAATATTAACTTAGCCGAAATGAGCCCGGCCGCGGCGGCCTGCGGCGGCGCGGGCTCGGAAGAAGGTGGGCGTGAGGTGTAACTCGGACTAAACCATTAAAAAAATTAAAAAAACTGCACTAATTATCACAAAATAGTATCTAACAACATTTCGTTAATTAACACAAAACACTATTAGAAAAAATGTTAACTAAAATCTGAATAATTAACACACGACAGCGGAGCGAACGCGGAAGCCGACTTGTTGCAGCAAGGCGAATGTTGCATCTATTGCACCGTTGCGTCGCCGTCGATCCCGACAGCTATTCCCTACCTATTTTTATAGGTCAATATATTCGCGCATGTGTCGAAACCCGATAATTTATGACATGAGCACTAGAGTCCCTGGATGGCTAGATAGGGCGGACCTCCCTTTACGCCGACGGTGCAGTTTATTGATTCATCCTTCCGGACTCAACAGATACATTCAGATTTCTATAGGCAACCGGACCGCCATATTTTATGCCTCACACTCTATTACAGAACAGTTATGTCTGGGGTATGGAACCGGCAAGAAGTTACCTGTTGTTTTAATTACGTTCGTAGCTTTTAGTTATTTCGTGTGGAGAGAAGATCAGTGTAATTAGTGTTTGCCAGAACATCTAGTAAATTGACATGTTGTACATCAAATATGCGGTACTGATGAACTGAGGCAAATGGGTGTGGAGCTGATTGAAACCGAAGGCTCAAAAAGTAAGTAAAACATTAATTTGTTATTTCATAAATATACATCTACAATTATATTCTTATTTGTATTAAATCTTCGCTCCCAAAATACTTAATATATATTTCCCAGAAAACCACACAAACGTCTTTATAAAAGTCTCACTTGCTTAAAGTGTGAATCGAATCCTAACTACAGAACAAAGAGCACGAGCCCTAATTCCGTGTCGCTGATAAATGTTTACACTAACACTTTAGCTAGGCTATTATTCCGTCATGTCAATTCGAACTTTCGCATTTGCCTCTCGCATTCTCGCTCGTCATTGGTCGAGATTATTCTCACAACCAATGACATGACGGACCGCCATCGAGTTCACTTCGATCTTTCGTATTGAGAGGTACAGAATAACTTAGCAGCAGTAGGCCTACAATATTAAACAACGAAATCCAAACTTATGTTACATCTTACCTAATTGAAAATGTATAATTAGATTTTTATTAATTTTTTTATTATATGTTGACCACAAAAAGATTTGCTCCGTGTGTGAATCGAACACGGTACACGTTGCACTGTAGCTGGTTGCATCAGGCCAAACAGACAGTCAAGAAAATTCTGTTTCCGATTGTTATCCAACAAAAACTAGATACTTTCTGTGTGTTTACTTTTTTTTTAAATTGACGGAAAGTATCTATTTCTAACAAAATAATATATTTTCATGGTAATGCAAATAAAGCAAGAAGTTTGTATTGAAAAAATTGCATGTAGCAGAATAAGCTTTACGACACAGCATACAAATATTAACACAGAATGCAAAGTTAGTAATATTTGATGGACTGTGTGATTGCCAAGCAAAATTTTATTAAATCATGGTAGAAGATGAAGAGCGTTCTTACAATATTATTTTTCAGGAGTAGGGGAAAGTGGTACATAATGATCTCTATACAAGAAAAAAGCTGTAATAAATATCACGCAGTCATATTGTCAACTTCTACCTAATATTTAGCTAGGTAGTTTAATGCCATGTTGACAGCATTTTTCTTTTTTGTTTTTGTAAGTGGTTACCAAATGATAATTTTATACAGCCTGGTATACAAAATGATCCCCTGCTGGAGGGCATAATGATCCCTGGGAATCATGACCCCCTTTAATGAAAATTGATGTTTCATTCCAGTTCTATTCACTCAAGTTCTATAGTTTTTTTATAAAAAAACTTCTATAGTTTTTTTATAAAAAAAAAAACTATAGAACTAGTTGACCTTCTACGTAATAGCATAATAGTAAAAAAGAAATAATAAAGTCTAGTCTATGGAATTAACGTACACAACATTTAACTAGTACGAACATTAGATTTTAGGCATTGATTTAAATTTTTTTGTTGTTATTTTCATCAAGACTCATCTATCACTTTTTCTATTCAACAGTGTTCTTTTGACCACCCATCCCCAAGAAACTTTGTCGATAACAGTAGTGGATGTTTGGTTAAGGATCATTTTGTACTACTTGTCCCTACAACTTACAATTCATAATGTGTTCCGTATAATACACAACTGCACATTCATTAGTTGTAAGTTATTCCTTACTTATGTCATAGTTCACTAGCAATAACATAATTGTAACAAGTGTATACATGTTATAACAGCTTAAATAATTAGCTCACAGGAATATTAGTTCTTTAATAAAGCATATTATTTCAGTTTCACAACATAAAGGTTAGTTATTTAATGTAGAAATAAAATGTCCGTAAGGATTGAGGTGTGACTTCGCATTTTTAAAATAAAATAAAGAAACTCATCCCATTAATTAGAAGTAAATTATATTGTTGGTATAATAGAATCTATAAAGCTCCTTAGAATTGGGATGATGACAGGGTATGAAAATTAAAAATCTAATTAGTCCGTAAGTTAGGTAATGAAAAAATATTAGACACGTATTTTATACATGTTACTACAATAGTAGGTTTTGTTAAATCTAAGTATTATTTAAATAATTATTGAATATATTTGATATCAACACAATAGTAAGTACTTTATTATTCGAAACAAAACAGAAAAATTATAGCAACAACAATTCAAGGGTTCATCGTCGTCAACAACAGCCTGTTCTCGTCCACAGCTGGACATAGGCCTCTCCAATGACAATTTAAGGGGTTAATTGTGAAAAAAAAATTGATATTTCCTACACCTATGTTTACTCAGTTTTCTAAATATGAACCTGTAACATGTCTTCGGTACAGCAAAAAAAGTCTCATCGTTACAAAGGTACCTATTACGTTACTGCGATGCTATCCATGCATGATAGTTTTGTAGTTGTGATCCATTTGTATACATCTGCGATTGCTCCAAATTATCAGGTTAACTTCATTGGAAATAATATTATTATAGTAGAAGTATAAGATCACAAAATTGAAACGCTTGATACAACAAAATTGTATTGTAATAAACATGAATGAGAAGCCACCTAAACCTTACATTATTGTAACTTTTGATGAACCTACGTATTTCACAAAATGTTCCAGAATGAGGTGAGTTTCTTTTATATAAATCAGAAGAGCCTCCTCATTTTCAGTAGTCTTTACGGACATAAAATTAGTGGTAGAGGTACTTACCTAGTAATCATTACTATCTTTTAACATTATTTATTTGGCAATTCTTACTTCTATAAATTTACCAATAATAACGTTTAGGTACCTAATATTCATAACAGTTCATAGTATTCCATGTCAAGCCATACATTTCAAGTCATAAATCAACACAAAGGCAAATAGATATTAATTTATAGGGAAATAAAATACCCGCTGATATTTTGTTGTGTCTGGTATCGAAGGGCGACTGTGGTGCAGTCTTGCAGCCTGGCGCTGCAAGTCACAGAGCCTGTGGTGGGACCAGGACGTGTTCATCCCTCGCAGTCCTTCTACTGCCTCGGCGATCTAAAGGGTCCAACACCATGAACAACGATGGTAAGCACTCATACCAATTCTTATTAAATTCTCAATGTTTCTTTCTAACTATGCAATCAAAAACATCGAGACTCAAATATTACAAATCTACCCTTTTATATTTTTAAACTTTTGACTGAGGTATTACAACAATTATGCTAAAAGATTTAAAAAATGGGCATCAGTTTACATGTAGTTTGTGAAATGACAACTGAAACAGCGTTATGGTAATGCTCTGAATACTTAATGGCGTGTTCTCGACTAACAGGTGGTTGAACAGTTGAACACAGAGTTCTGAGAGCACGACATGAGAACATAACATTGTTTTTATTAGACAAATGTATCTACGAAGTACGCTACTAAAATAAAGGTTGTATAGTCAACAACTAAGTATATACTACTTAGTATTTTTAACAAGTCGACAACTAAGACTTGTTAAAAAAAATTTACTATAATAACAGGAACGGGGTGTAGGCAGTGTATGAGCTTATCACCCTTTGATAGTATTTATCTACCCTCGTAATACAGTGTTAAGGTTAGGATTCCAATTTTGGATTCTTGACCCAAGTATTTTAGCGATCGTAAAAGTACGAGATATCAAATCTTCAAATAGCTCCCAGGGAGATGTGGCGCAAAATACTGTTGGTTCTTTCGAGGGAATGGTCGAGTAGGGCTTAAAGATCGTATACAGTCGTTCTAAAACCCTCAAAGCAGAAAGTATCTTCATAATTTATCTACATAAAAAACTTAACGATCATTGTAAAATTTTCAGCTCTTGACATAAACAATGCACGGCAGGGAAGTGCCAAGAGAAGACAAATAATAATAGAGCCGGGAAGTATATACATCGATTACCTAAACTTTATATTCTCACAAAGTTCCAAGAGACGTCCGGGGCTGGTGGGAGCTCCAGGCGTAGTGGGTACGCCCGGGGGTATAACGGACGTACCAGTCAATGTCGTGAGTACACCGGCTGGTATTGTGGGACCAACGAGCACTAACTTGATACGGACAATCGAGATATGTAGAGCACCGGTCGTAGACGAAACTATGGACGGCGTTGAGGGAAATGAGTTCGTAACCATAACACCCTATAACGTATGGGATCTTACAACAACTCCAGATTGGATCGAGACGACTCCAGGCGACGAGGAAAAACCACAAATTAACGAGATAAATCCAGGTGGAAGCCAGACAGAACCAAGCCAACATGGAACAGGCCATGACTGCCAGCCGCTAGGTACATAATAATTAAGCTACGCTACTAACATTAACATTTAAGTATATCCTGCATAATGTATTTATTTTTACTCGTCTACGAACACACACAATAAATCGCTCTCACTGATTCTCTCGCGGTTCGGCAATTTTGGTTAAGTGTAAAAAAAATTAACAATTCCGATCACCGGCACTGTCAAGACTTTAGAAATAACTAAGCAATAACCCGTTCTTCAATAACTAGCCCAAGTTAATACTTCTGCTACGGAAAGTTTAACTTAGTAGCTTCAGAAGCGAATGTGAATATCTTAGCAGATTAATACACTGATAGCGATTTATTGAGCGATTAGAATGTTACACTATAATGATGCATTACAACATTGATACGGTTTCAGTAAAATATTATGTCATCCCTGAAAACGGGTACTTTGTACCACGCGTTTAACATAATTTGTCATTTTTTCGCATGAATGTTATTGACATATAGGGACACAGTTTACGTGTTACCATTTCAGAGGACAACATATTATACTGAACGCACTGTATTAACACAGTTACTTCTCTCTTTTTGTCCTCCTCCGCTTCAATGGCCCGCTGATGAAGAAGCTTAATATCAAGTTGCCTGATTTCCTCCGCCTCTCTCGCTTGGCACTCCTTTTCCTTAAATGTATTAATGTGTAGATAATTATTGTAGGTATAGATAATTATTGTATAGACAAGCGACATCGTTATAGATGCTGAATATGGTTGTGGTGTAGATGTACAACTATTAATTAAGATAAAGGTAAAGTAAACGGTGTCTAAAGTTGTATCACGGTAAACACACATTATGTTAATAACAAAGTTCCAGAATACAGAATTTATTTGATGTAAAATATATACGGTAGGACCTCATATTGCGTATTAGTATCTATTTCAAGGTTGCATGCATTATTGTTTATTGTACCTAACATTTGGTTTGTGTCGTTAAATACCTTTTGAAGTTGCTTTTCGTGTTCAAGTTTCTGTTGCTCAAGTTCTTCTTCCGGTATTGGTGGGGTCTCATCTCCACTAGACGCATGTTTATTTCCTAAATGAAAGATGCAACAAATGTTTAGGTAGGTAATACACAAAACAAAACAGCTCCGAGAATAAAATGTTAAAGGAACCTACCAGTCGGTGGGTGATACGATATCCAAAACTGATGAGCCATCACTATCAACTACACAACACGTTTACATTCACTAGACACTCTTTTCAGTCAAGGCTAGTACGTTTACGGCTCAGAATACCAAACGAATACTGAAACACGTATAAACCGTAAGATTTTATTCATAGACGTTTATTTTCATGGTAGACTCTGAGCGAACTTACGTTGTGTAGAACCGATTGGCAAGAGGCCAAGACACTGCGTCGCAGTAGAGTCAGTAGTCCTCCGTCCCTTACACAAAACTCGTCATTTTTACAGTAATATTATTTAAGTTACTTATTCCCTTTTTAACATTTTTATGTGATTTTGTGTTATGTACTGTAAGCATTTTTCGGTGTTATACTGTTTAGTATAAATTCGCAATTATCCAAGTATTTTGTATTGGTCTAAATGGTAACGCATTCAGGCACAGACTAATAGATAAATACTCAAACATACTAATGTAATACGTAGATTAAATGAATGAACATTAATTGATATAAGTTTATAGGTCCATACAATCACTCATACCATGGAATACAGAACATTACGTGATAGTCATGAAGACAAAACATACATGAGACAAAAAATATACCCAACTTCTTTCCTGTTAAAGTAGGTTACACGTGGGACTTCATGAATCGCTGTTTTTGCAAAACAAATCCCTGATGTCTGCGCGTGGAGCATAACGGTCATTATTCATGTAATACGAGGGGTGAACTGCCGTCACCCTACTACGTCCTTGGCCCTGAATGAGAATAACACAGAAATCGAACACCACTAGAGTCGTGACTTGTAAAACCGGTGGGGTAATTTGCACAATGTTCCAGAACGTGAGATTCTTTCAATGTCAGGGCGCGCGTGATCCTTTGGATTTGTGTTAGCAGTTCGTATTTTAAAACCTTGCATGTAGATTACGTGTCGTGCATAGGACTGAAGTTTTTAAAAGGTATGCCAATAATTCAAAGGGACAATCACTAGAAAGTAAGTATATAGGTACCTCTACATAAATGATAGTAAATGATACCTAAATAGGCCGAATACACTACATACAATACTTACATGCATGGAAACACCAAGGGACAATAAATAGGAAGAAGACAGAGTTTATGCTCTATGGCCACAAAAAATAAACAATGACAGAGAAAAATGTCTAATTTGATCTTGAAATGCAGTCGGAGATTGTGATATTAAATAAACGTTTCTATACATGTTCTAAAACCAAATAAGTAGTACATAGGTAACTTATGCGAAAAAATATATTGTGCGAAGTGAAGTGAAGTATTTTTCGTACCTATAAGATCTGTTAAGTATAGAAGAGTTGGAGTGTTAAATCATCTCAAATGTATTAAATGATAAGTAATTGAAAATTTATATTATGAAAATGTGGATTTATAAAAATGTGAAGATTAAAAGACAAAAATCCGTGTGGAGACAAAGGAGAGAAATAAAGAAGAGAATCAGCCCTCAATATTCATCCACAATCATTGGCCATCCAGGGAACTATGAAACTAACCAATCACAGCCGGAAATATACTAAGAGATTTCAGTATTTCAAAATGTAGGTGGGAAGGTACCTTTTTTCGTGGTGTTGGATAACTGTTTAGGAAACAGGTGTGTACGTTTCTTGTTTCCTAAAATCGAAAATGAATCGATGGTGAGATTTCGTTTTCCATATCCAATCGTGTGGCATTCGTGATTTTGATTAAGGCTATCCGGACTAAAAAGAAAAGAAAAGATGAGGAGGTTGTGAATGGTCAAGAAATCACTAAAATACATATGGATAACGAGTTCAACGACTTCAGACTTCGGTCTCAACATTAAAAACAAACTATTATTGCTAGTGCATGATTTACTGTTAATGATTAGGTTTAAGTAAATAAAGAACCTACTATTTAAAATACTCTTCTGTGTTTTCGGTCGGCTTTCTGCGGTTGGAGTCATCCCCATATTGGCGTTAACTGAAAAATACACTTAACTATAACTTCGGCGTCTTTTAAAACTGTCGTAATTTACATAAAACTAAAGTGTATCAGGGACACACGACTCAATTTGTCGCACTTGTGACACCTCGAAGAAGTGACAGTGTGCAAAAGGAATCTACCTAGTCAGAGGCCAGGGGAAATATAATGAAGTCCACAAATTATTATTATTTTAATACACTTAGATAATTGTACAAATTATCTTTATACGTATTTTTTTTACTGAGTGTATGAATGAATGAAATACATTTAAAGATAAATTAGACAATAAGTGCGCATCATTTAATTTTCGGAATGTTCTACCCACAAATATTACCTACCCATTTACTTGTGAACTGCGAAAAATCTAAACTACCTACACTCTTTCTACCAAGTGATTAGAATTTTTTATTTTATGTAGGTATTATTAGCATAGTATAAGAATAAGTACTTAAACGGGTATAAATCCTACGTATAATGTCATGTGGTTTTAATGATCTCGCAGATATCAGTATCGGAAACTCCTCTTGACTATCATTATAATTATATTTTCCAATAAGTCCAATAAGTTTCACAAGACAAATATGTTTTTACATAAATTACTATAATTTGTGTCAAAACCTTAAACTTTCCAGATTTCCCTCTGCCGAAATTATCAGATAATGATTAGGTACTTTAGCTTTTGCTATAATACCTACTAATTCACGCCACACACCTAGGTCCATACAGCTTACACACTTTCAACTAAAACTGTACAGTTCAACTGTTTGCTCTACACACCTTACGATTTAATTGTAGAGTCCTGTACGTGTGCATTAGATAATAGGTACGTAATTACATTATGTATAGGTACATACTGACTACGAAATGTTAATGAAAACGGTTAAATAGGGAGGTAGTAACACAAATAAACACCTATGTGATTTTTACACTTTACAAAAAAGTGTAAATGCTTTCATGTAGGTACGGTTACTAAGTACGTAAATTGCTCATTATCAGGGCCGTAGCTGGCACCGTACCTATATACCATATCAATTATACGGGGCTCCCGTACTACAGGGGCTACGTGGCTTAAGAAAAAAATAATAAACACTTCCTATACATTTTTTAATTCCGTAATCTTAAAAGTAAATGTAAACCTTTTTTGCCACGTAAAGCACCCATTCAAAGGCTAATAAGAAAAGAATAGAACTGTCATGCGTGATCTACCCCTAGATCAATTACCAAACTAAAAAATTAAGTTATAAATTTCAAGAAAAATGTCCATTGCCTTTTAATTATTTTTATAAGCGTCGCGTTTTTATACGAATATAAGCGTCGCAATTTTCTTCAAAAATCTGGTTTGGTATCTAAAATCCTCGTACCTAGTCACTCATAATTATTTACTATGTTTCATTAATGTTTTTTAGTTAGGTATTAAGATTTAATTTATTTCACAGCTGACAAAATTCATTCTATTCTTACCGGAATCACAAAATAAAAAGTTCTTTGATATGTAGGTTAGTAGGTAGGTAGGTACCTAATTATCAATTTACTTAATTTATTAGATAATAAGACTATAATGTAATAACGGTCAATAGCTTAATAACTTACATTTTAATTACAAATCTGCACCAAGCCTACTTAAAGTTTGAAATTCAGCGCAATTTTTCGATATAAATTAGTCGACCGGAAGTCCAGAAAAAGGTACTTTCTACATAAATTAAACAATAATAATTAAAGTTTATACCTTGATTATTACCTTGTTTTTACAGTGCTTGCCCCAAACCAAATATAATTTGTCAAAACAACGAAACTGAAAATTGGTAGAATTTAAATTTTCCTCCTCAGTGTTGCCAGCATAAAAAAAAATAGGAAAGTCAAATGATATCAACCACAGCAAGAATGGTATCTATTTCTCAAATAAAATAAAAATTATTTTATTCTGATTCTGTCACCGAAAATTGTACTCTATATAAATAAATATCACTGACACAATGTGTGTATTTAGTAAGGCGAGAATGTCGCTGCAAATCGCTGTCGCTGTAAACTCTACAGACTCTACCATCAAAGGGGAGAAAAAAAACAAATAATGTCTACGGTTGACGCCTTGACGCTTGATGAATTTTTTCAATTTTTATTCAATTTACTCTAAGATTTTGTCGTATACGCGTGATTTAGTAAGATTTCAACAAGTACTACATAAAATATTTACAAATGATTTTGATTCGGACGTATTTGGGTTCGAGCGAACAAGGACGGAATACTTACATGGATATAATGCGCGTTTTATCATTCTGCATGTGCGTGAAAGAAATGTCAGTTTAAAGAATGGTAAAATACGTAATTTGTTGCTGTGTTAAAATGTAATGCACCTGAACAAGTGTGAATAATACTTTTGCTATGTGATAGTGTGTGTGATAAAACAGATGATCAATAATTCCGTTGTAATGAAACGAACAAAAGTATAGTGTTGGGTAGCTAGTTTTTGACAGCCGGCAGGCTCGTCGTAAGTGACTTACGATTGGCCCCCTATAAAAATGAACAGTCGTGGTAGCGTAAATGAATCGAATTTGGTGAATCTCTCTGGGGATCTGTTGAATCCATTGGATACGAAAGAGTCGTTGGCGCTGAGTTTCCCGTTTGATCACATATACGCTTGTCACTCGGAGGAATCAGATCGCCGACAGGCGCATCTCGACAAGGAAGTAGAAATTGCCCTCCCTGATGACAAGGAACTAGTGCCTCCTGGGGAACAATCGCTTGAGGTTAGAAGACTTTCAGAGAAATTAACTGCTGCTGAAATTCAAAATCAAAGATTGAAAAGTTTGCTAGTCTATCATCTGGATTTAATACAACAACAAAATGATCTTATAACCAAGAAAGAGAAACAAAATACAGCTCTTCAACTGGAAAATGACTCTGTAAGTAAATTTTTTTGATATTGCTTAGTAGATGTGCCATGTACTAGAAGTAACATTGGCAAATAATATAACCTTGTTAATGTTAAAACAAGACACTATAAAATTTTATGTAAATTATATATTATATTGTAAATGCAGATTAGGTCTTGATATTACTCGGGCAGGCTTGTTTCTAGTCCATCGTTAGAAGTCTAGTTACCAATATGTCAAATTCTCCATTAAAGTCTGGTTAGAAAACATGGTTAGAGTATTTAGTGAATTCAAATAAAACATTATGAATATTGTTCAAAAACAACAATATCTGATACACATAGAGGTTATATTGAAATCTATTTACTAATAATATTTTTCTGATATTGATTAAACCAGGTTCATCAATCCTTCTTTACCTCATATTTTTGTTTAACATTTTGTATTATTCACAATGAAGGAATACAAATATTCACTTATTTGAGAATCAGCAGATTGAAATGTTACAAATTCATCGTTACCATCATACACATCTAATGCATTAAAAATCGACTTGTTATTTGCAATAACAAATTGACTTAATATACTTTTGAATGCATTAAATGAGCATAAATTTTTTATTCGTGTAGATATTCTGTTATAGAGTTTTGCTCCTTTAAATGTTAACATACTCTTTTGCCATAATTTGTTCGTACCCTTAGTATAGCTAAGAAACTAGCGCATCTATTATAGCGAATTAGCTGTAATAAATATGTTCTGGATTTGCGAATTAGTTTTTAATATTGGCAATGCTACTGCTACTGCTAATTATTTTTATTTGGCATTATTCAACAATGAGCAGATTGTTGTTATCTTCAACTGTCACAAATTGCTCTGACACATTTCATAATATGCAAAATACATGTTAATACTGCTATTAATAATTTAATAATAATTCAGGTCCTCATAATTTTAACACATATAATACATACCTTAACAGAGATTTTAAAAAGTGATTAAGTATATAAAAATTAACAAAAATTTTGTACTGAGATAGGTCACAGTCTGCAACCTAACTTTATGGGGGTTAGTTACGTGCTATGTCACGCAAAGTGACTTTTAGTTAAGAGATTGTTTAGGGGTGGTTGATGAAAACGGCCATTAGATTATTTATCAACAATTTTTTGTATTTTAATGCACTGCGAAATTATAGCTTTTGCATTGGCAATTAAAGAAGAAAAATATATACATACTTGCTGGCAAAATTATTATAATATGTCAATTTAAGAAATCTTATTGTAGAAGCCAATATTTAGTAGCAAATTGCGATTGATTGTAGTTATAAAAATTATTCATGTATAGGTACTTTAATAGTTTTATTAAATTAAATGGATTGCATTAAAATAGCTTATAATTTTTTTAATGTAAGCTTATTGTGTGTATCAGAGAGAAAATGTGTAATTTATGTATGAGTCCATTACATAACAACAGATGCAGTATGTAAAACATGAGTTTATTGCATGCCAGCATATTACCATTTTAATGTTTTATTTACATCATTTACATTACCATTTGCAGCTTAAATCTAAGGTGACGCGTATGGACAGAAGGATAACAGTGAGTCAGAGGCATAATGTTAATCCTGCACCTGTTTTAAATCTGCCACCTCCCACAAGCGCACCACCACCTACAAGTGCGCCGCCACCTATCAGTGCAGCACCACCATCTCCGACCCTTGCTGCAACTATCAAAACTGAACCAGGAACTTCTGATAATCAGGTAATATGATATCATAACTGTGCAGTTGTACACACATGCTGTGGATTGGTGATAATTATATTTTCTGTGCTACCAACAATTTTAAAATGCCTAATAGTTGCTACTTATTTTATCCACACATATCCCTAAATATTAACATCAGAGACAGTAAGGCAGGCAGGCATCATTCATAGTTAATTCTTGTATTTCTATCACAACTATATTGATACTTATATGTACTTGTTTGTAATCACTAAATCTTTGTATTTTCTATTTCAGTTGGTATATAATAGTATTACTGATTTTTTGGTGCCAGAAACTAGAAAGAGTCCATATCTTTTCAGTAATGATATTACTAAAACAAAACCTTTGATGCCAGACGCCTTTGATTTGAATAGACCTGCAGAAACAGGTAATTTTATTTTTCATTTTGTTTATTTCTTTTTTCATTTGAAATAATGAGTGAAGGAGTCTTACAAAAAAATTATAAGCTAATTTGGTATTATAAGTCTTTTGATGAATAAAGTATACATGCTGTGGTAAACCATTATTGTTTCCTTTCTATATTTTGATGAAATAACTATTTTCCGCTATAACCCGACAACCGCTTTGATTTAGACAATTTTACTATTTCATCCTAACTATAACAAATGCGGCGACACTACAGAAGAAAATAAAGTTAATTTTATTAGTTATATTAATAACATTAGTTGTGTTTAAATGAAGTGTGTAGAAACATTAAGCGGATTCAGTTTTTATTTTCTTTCTTCTCACATAACATACGAGTTAAGTCAAAAAGTGTAGCATCTATATTTATAAAGGCACATTTAAGAGGTCAATCGGTACCTGATCTATATTGTATACCATATTACATTAGTGCACAGATGTCAATTTGTCATGCACTTGTAATGTGCAAAGTTCAAAGTATTGCCAATTTTGCCAATTATCCAATAAAGCAATACTCACTTGTGATCTTCAATGACATTTGATTTAAATTGATATAAGAGTAAAGTTGGATTGAATTTCTCTCTTGCCATACTGCTGTATGGTCAGTTCTACTGCGAAGAAAGTGCACATCTTAATTTATTTGAGATGTCATAATTTTGTGTTAGTACGAAGTTTGGTAAGCTGTATTTAAGGCTAGCACGCGTGGTGATAGTTCATTTGGCGTTACTTTAATAAACTTTGTCCTTTTTGTGTTTATTTGTGCACAGAAAACTGCAAATCAATGGTGATAATCATTTAGATATAACTATACGGTGCAATTATTGAAAAAAAATGTGTTGCTACATTTATTACTTATGAGGTACCTAGCTCGTAAGGCAACGATGTATTTAGTTCCGAATCAACAAGATAGTAAAGTTTGTTACCTGGCCTTGTGACGCTCGGTTGGGCCTAAAATACCCCAATACTATATTCATGTATTTTCAATCGATTTCTCCTATCAGTAGTCAGTGCATTTCTATTGTCAGTCTGTTAGCTAGCTCCTTACTAGTCTGTCAACTGAACCTGAGTTTCTTTTGGGCACCTACCTAGTGTAGTAAAGTGTTTTAGACAGTAAATTGTTTGTAATAGATATTACCGTGAATTTGATTTAATATTTTATTATAATAATTTTACAATAGTAAGAGCCGATTTTTCCAATCATCTGATAATTCTTGTGTAGAACAAAATTGACATTTGACAGTTTTTAGTATGAAAGAATTGACAAATATTCAAAGTTATTCTTCTGATAAAATTTAACGAGTGTTGGAAAATCGGCCTTCTGAACTACGTAATTGTGTGATTGGCAAATGTTCTTTAGTCATCATTGAAGTCTTTAGCACTTGAAATTACAAGTCTTGAGAACAAGAAGACGTAATAACAAACTCATTGAAATAATTTCAAGCATCAGCGGTAAAGGAACCAGGTCCATATGACAGTATAAATTAGATGCACAAGATTTTTAGAGCTTTATTGATTGTATTAGAATAGATGTTAATTAAGTCAATGAGCATGATTGTATGTATCGCTTTTCTTCTATGTTAGTACTACTAAACTGTTCTGTAACTTCGAAAGATCAAATTGGACTCGATCGTGGTTCGACATGTCATAGGTTGTGAGAATAATCTCGACCAAAGATGGGCGAGAATGCGACCGAGTTTACTTCGAAAGTTCGAATTGACAGTTACAGAATAACGTAGTGTTGTTATTGTTATTTCTTTTCAATTGTTGGTACTCAATGTCATAAAAAAGTTTGACGCAGCGACAGGTGCTCTAGTTCAATATTTTTTCAGATGTACCCAGCTACTTACCAGGGGAAATAGGCGTGCCGTCGATTTTGGAGAATAGCGGGCTGCCGTGCGACAACTTCAACATGATTGAGAACAAACAGTCGTACATCAAAAAGGAAATCAAGACTGAACCTCGACCGGAGCCTTTGTACACTGTCACGTCAAACAGGTTGTTCAGTATATTAGGAGTTTAAAGATCTTCGTGTACTATTGTGTTAACAAATAACGAGTATGTTCTATTTTTTTACTTACAGCGGCAACACCGTGATTCAAAAGATACAGAGGAATCGGAGGAGGACATCCGGAGGTTTAGGTAGTTTAAGTAGACTACCGAAAACGCCTGTTGTTAAAACCGAACCAGAAGAAAATGGTAAGCCTTATAATCTTTTTTAATTTTATATCTATTTTCAATTCGTACTATTAGTAGTACGAATTATTCTGGCTCTGGCTTCTAAGGCTATTGCATTAATGTAGTGATCGCTAGAGCGACTTTACTTAACATACGAAGTCCCGAATTTGTCGAGGTTTCTTAAATTTTGTGTTACCATAGATTTTACAATTATACCCGCTTTATGGGTAATGTTTTGATTAAGACTAGCTCCCTACTATATGATACACATTTAAAAAGTGCTTCATATCAATTATAATTGAGATGTTTCCATAATTATAACAAAAACGATTTTTTGCTCTTTTTCATACATATTGATGTAAACTTTCGTGCGAGTCCAATTCATACTTGGCCGATTTTTTATAAAACATGTCGAGTGAATTAATTTATTTCTTATTTCAGTTTTCGAGGATGACAAAGCTTTTGAGCGTTCCTTCAGTGTTAATAAAAAATCAAAAATGATCAATACATATGGCAAATCTAAAAACGCCACTATTCCAAAGAAAACACCTCACTACACCGGTTCGCTGTCAGATCGGTTACAATTAATAGATACGACGCCTACTGGTGAAGACCCGTATCAACTAGGAGAGGCTGATATGAGAGAGCAATCACCGATTCCGAAACTTATGCTTCAAAAAACAAATCATGGTAGGCTGAAAATATGCTCTGATCTTATGGGCGAGAGCGCGATTCCCTCGAGGCGCATATATGATGCGCCAGCAACTGAAACAAGCTCTAAAATGCCAAATAAAATAAAACTTGAGAAAAGATACAATTTACCTAACATTGTGCCCTATTCAGCTGCACAAGCTACTACGCATACGCTTACACACGCGTCGTTAACGACTACAGATACGGGGTCGATGATGTCCACTTACACGCACGTTTCTAAGTCGACAGCCCATATACCTAAGCAATCTCCGACTCCTAAGCAAACAACTAGGCAGACATCAGCTCACAGTGCTAAGCACTCGGCGGTATCTACGAATACCTGTACTTACACGAACACCTACACGCCTACTACAAGAAATTCGAGTACACGTAGCCACACGACCCCAAATAAAGGCAGGACGTCACAAAGGAGTTCTCAATCTGGCTCTCGGAAATCCACGCAAGCGGCAACGAACAAACTGTTGAATGTGAGCGCTGCGAACACGGTGAGCACGGTCAACACGGTGAACACTGTTAACACGATGATCACGGTTAACACGGTGAACACGATTAACACGATGATCACGGTTACCACCGTGAACACGGTTAACACTGTTAACACGGTTAATACGGTGAACACAGTGAGCACGGTGAACACGGTGAATACGGTGAACGCGATGAACACGGTGAATACGGTGAACGCGATGAACACGGTGAACACCGTTAACTCGCTGAACACACCAAAGCCAGTTATTAAAACCTCATTATCAACAACACTTAATAATCTGCATACAGCGACGCTTGCCGCCTTACACATGGTACCTCTGGCGCTCACTCATACTCCCTCGCAGGGCCACCAATTGCACGCGGCGATAATATCTACACCGCTCAAACCAACTACCCTTAAAGAAATTAAAAAAGAATCTCAGGAGAATACAATGTCGACGCCGAAGACGGCGATTCTACATCAGCCGCTGATAATACAACAACCGACGTTAGTTAAGCAAGCAGGAATAGTGCCGCAACCGGGGATGATGCAGCAATCACCGATGGTACAGCAACCCACGATACTACAGCAACCTGCCATATTACAGCAAACTGCAAATCTACAGCACTTATCACTAGCACAACAAACAGCGTTAGCACAACAAGCTGCTTTAGCGCAACAAGCGGCTTTAGCGCAGCAACCCAGCTGCTCCAACATGCAACAGCAGGATGCGGACGTGAAAAAGGAATCAGGCTTACGAGTGGACTGGTCTTTATATAACAATCTTAACTTGAGCACTGACGCTACAACTTTAACCGACTTTTATACAGAGGACCCAGGCTCACCTTTGCCACAGTTCGATGTTTCTGAATTTCGGCAACTAATAGAAAACGAAGCAGCAGCGGCAGCCGCTGTAGCTGCTTTAGATAAAATGGATACACTGGATTATGGTACGATCGAAAAAAATGAAAGTGATGTCAAAAAAAGGGGAGCACGAACTGCAAGCCTCATCGCACCCGGTGTCCTCGAAGTATGTGTTATTTGTTTAAAACACATTTTTAAGGGTTTGACAGGATTGTCTACAATATTTCTTATTTCAGGAGGAAACTACGGATAACCGTCGTGGTATGGGCAGTAAACGTGGAAGAAAACGTGCCCTATCTAGCGCGGGACTAATGAAAAATGCTAAGCAAAATTTATCGAAAGCAGTCGGGCCCAAGCCAAAAACGATTAAGGGAAAAGGTAATTAGATAATGAATCTGCCTTCGGCGTTACTTATCTTGAATAAAAAAATGTATTTGCCTAAAGGCTGGCGATTGTGATGGCTGAGCGGGCAGTGCTAGTGAACCATTGTCCTTGCAGTTCTTACCAGTATTGTCATTTCAAATAGAATATCGTCATAATTTTAAAATGAAATAAAATTGCAGCAGATTGATTTAAAGTTAATTTTACATAAATATCCATTGTAATATAATACTGTAACTTTGTGATCAAAACAGCTTTGCAAATCTTTTGTAGATACCATCGCCATGTGCCTAATTTGTACGTCAAAGATTCGTGTGAAGGAACGTTCTATGCAATTGATGCAGTTGGTTTAAATATGTTGATATATATTTCAGCTGCGTGCCGCGGCAAGAAATCTCCTCTGCCAGGAATGACTACGGGAAAACCGTATCACACTCTGGTGGGAGACCCGGACGTATCGTGGTACCTTGGTCTGGACCCCGACGTTAAACAGGAAGACATCGATCAGGGGGACTGCACAGCCTCCACTGTAGAGGTAATTTATACTAAATACGTTCACATTTCTTTCAAAATTAGTGTAAAAATTACATTATTATTAGGTTGTTCAAAAAAACTTATTGAATTAAATCATTGTAAAAACCAAAATTCAATATAATTTACATTCTTTTAACCAATACAATATTATTTCTATGATACCCATGTAGATAACTCGATTCCCCTGTTTACTTTGGCTTTCTTCCAAATTTCTAGGTACCAAGATGGCGGGAAAAACCATACTCTAGTTTATATAGTCTGGAAGGGACAGAAAACTTAGACGATAAAATTTTCGAAAAGCGTCACCAAAAATTAGAAGCTGAAGAACGACGGCAACTAAGGTACTATTTGTTTACTTCTTGGATAATGTGTTACTTACAAGAACATGTATTTATCTGTATTTATTCACCCGTTACTAAGCAAGGCTTTTATGTGAAAACTACTTTTTAAACGAAAAGGATGTACTTTTGTTTTGTGTCATAAATGGGTTATTATAAATAGGTACAAACAAATATAGACGCACATCGAAGCCCTGCTTAAGTTTCCGAATTAACCATTCCTCTCATGTGTCCAAATCCATATTCCAAAACATAATTATGTAATAATATTCCATAACCCATACTAACTAAGTTGATCTGTGCAGAACTAGTAGCGGGGGTAGAACGGATGATCAACAAACACCCATGAACTCATGTTAAAGACTGGTTTCAATCATTTAGTGTTAATTGTGTTAATGGGCCCCTGCTAGTTACCCCTGGTATGCCTTCCAAATGTCTGAGACCCCATGGTCCCGGAATAGGAAAAGACACTACAATACACACTGTGTTTATAACAAGGTGTTATAAAATTAATCCATATTTCAATTAACCTTTTGAACGCCATGGTCAGCTATAGCCGACAAACAAAATATGACGATCACGTCATATTTTGTTTGTCATTTTTTGAGTGACCATTGCAGTCGGCTACAGCCGACAAGAAAAGATGATTTTAAGTACATTTAGTTTGTCGGTTATAGCCGACCGCGGCGGTCAAAAGGTTAAATGCCTAATATAAATTAACTGACTTTTGAGACATTCTATTAAATATTATTATAAATATATATTTATGTAAATAGAGTTGTCCGAAAGCGTTGCTGTATATTTTGGATGGTAGGTACATTCCAAGAGGATTGCTGACAAATAATGAAGGTTCATTTACGGAGGAACGATCGTTGAACGTTGTGCGCCACGAAATGATATTAGCTCCAACATATAAGTATGTGATATTTCATTGAGATAGCTTGCTTTGTCTTGGAGCCCGTAGCGTTCACGTTAAGTTGCAATTTGCATCTTTGTTAAGAACACGCGCCTCCATAAATGAATCTTAGTAATGAATGTGTTTGTTTAACTTAAACTTGATACATTCAAATTATGGCAAAGATTAAATAAATGGAAATAATAACCAGTATCTTTGGAATGGTGTTACAAAATTATTTTCTAAATTGACGTAGAAGACGACTCATGTCTGTCTTCTAAGTAGTCTAACCAAAATTAGGAAAAACAATGAGCAAACAATTGGCTAATTATAATTGGCTTCATTTGAGATTGGAGATCCGGCTAAACCAGTGACAAAATACCATCGTCATGGATACTGGTTATGTAATCTGATCAGCCGGTATCTTGGTCACCTTTAAACAAAGGTGGCCAAGAGAGGACAGCGTAGCCTTGGGCGCAGCTGATTATCCATAAATGATGTGTTTACAATTAGTATATTTGGATTTTTAATTTGTTACATCATTCATCGGAAGCACCGTGGTAAGTTTGCTCATTAAAACACTAATTTTCACAGAATGTTTATTATTTTATATGAATGTCTCAATTATTTTTGTACCTCCTTATCACTACATTTATGTATTCATTTCATTGATCATTTTTCTCATTAGATTAAAAAACGTCTATTGTAAAAGGTGATAAAATTTACAGGTGGCACATGAGACGAATCCGTGAGCAGCGACATGTAGAGCGTCTTCGAATGCGGCAGCGGGATCCTTGGTATAGCGGGCACTCTCATTACCAACCCTCAGTATACACGATCTGGCCGCAGCCTCAAAGGGATGTGCGAATGATCGAAATCACCGATACCATACCAGTTATGGCTTTCGGGGAGGACCTGCCCGATATACCACCGGCGTTAGTATATTTTAATTTTATTGAAATTTTGTCCTGAATTAACGCAACGATACCCTTCTGAGATGAAGTTAACAATACCTTCAACCATATGTCACTGGCATATAAGATCCAGCTAAACAAAAATAGTTTATTGATTGCAGTAGAATATTATATTATTGGTCGTTAGCATTGTAATTATGTACAACAAACAAATTGTAGTCGTTCCTTAATTTGGATTTTTAATTTTCAGTGACTTTATGTTGCCGTGGGTGAGAACATCAAAAGCTTTGAAGAGATCTAAACGTTCGAAGACGCTACATTGATCGTCCATGGACTGCGTACCACGCTCGGTTAAGATTCCCAGTTGGGCCAATCCATGATAGGTATATGATGTGTATTTTAACTTTCACCAATCGGAACCGATTTCTGCCAAAAGATGAGTCTGGTTGGACTGTAAGTAGTAAGCCGGTATGGCACTTTCCAGAGTCGTGTTGACACGGTATAGTGTGACCTACATGAGCATGATTAAATGGACATTACTAATTTTGGAATTGCGCGTTGACGCCTGTTGACGAGTGCTCTTGTAGATGTTTCGACCGTAGGATTTAAAAAAGACTATTGTCGTGTTAGATGGTGATTGGTCGCGGTCGTACCGGCGATTTTACAGGAAAGTTAACTGACAACTATACCTGATTCGATGATAACTTTTCGTACTCTATACTTATACTGAATAAGAATAGAAAATATTGCAAGTGTTTAAACTGATTAAAAAGGTTTAAATGTTTAGTTTTTGTTTGTTGATCAACAATAGGGTGATATAGGAATTAATGTTTTAGGATCAATCGTCGGACATAGTTCTAGGCATAATAGTAAGATCACAAGTTATTTATTTGTGTCTATGATAGATGTAACACGGAAATTAGGTACTTACTTCATAGGAACTAAATTTTCAAGATGTTTGAAATTATAATAAATCAATTTTGTAGTTGTATTATAATTATTAAAATTAGTGGAATGAAATTACAATAGCCAGGTTGTATAGCGGTTTTCAAGTTGAAATTATGATATTGGTCATCTCGGTAATAGTGGACTAGATGTTAGTACATGTTTTAGGTACCTAGACTGTATTAGTCACTGTCTTAAAATTGCTTTTCCGTGTGATAAATATATCATAGCGAAGCCAAATAAGTGTTAAGCGATTTCAATTAAATTAACAATCCCTTTAAATTAACAAAGTTATAATAATTCAGTAATTAGTTTTGAATGCATGAGATAGCATCTCACGTTAGTTCTTACATGTGCACATTTATAAGAAAACAAAAAATAAAATGAAAAACAATATCGGTGTTTACAATATAGGTACTTTAAAATAGTAATAATCATTTACTCTGGTTTTATAATAGATTCCAAGTGATTCGATCAATAATTAATAAAGTTATAATACATCAAAATAATGAAATAGATCCTCATCAACTTCCATATTTTTAGGACATACTATACAATACTATTACTGTCAGAAGCAAAAAAGCTTACGGACCTTACTGCAAACAGCCACCGTTGACTAAGTACACCAGAAGCGTCGCAAGTACCCTATGTACCTAGGAAAATTACATTTTATTTCATTTAAGATTCACATTCGGAAATCGTCGTATTAAAATGTAATATTCCGTTCACATTTCATTATTTCAAAATAATATAACCCAGGGTCAACCCTGGGTTACAAATATTACTTAATTAAACCCAAAGCTATATGTACCATCTATAATAATATATCTTTCGTTGTTTATGTTCACAATGGAAGTGTTTAGGTCTCCCGATGACGAAATATAGTAAACTACAGGTCCTAAGCTTAATATAAAGATACCATTCAGATGCGATACAACAATGCGGCGGCTTAAGATTGCCTGAAACAAAACAAACAATGTATTTTCGACTATGACTATTATTTGTTTAATTTAATGTAAAGCTCTCTATATCTTAGTTTACGAGACAAAAGAGTGCATTATGTATTATACAAGGTACTTCTTTGCCACACAAACTAAATAGGGATATTGTTATATGTGTTTGTACCGGGTTTACGTTTTCTAAGTGATGTGTGGGCACCACATACCGTTGTGCAATACCCCCACAAAAGTTTATATATTTTTGACATTTTTTATATAATTTTTGTTGTAAATATTTCATTAATTATTATGGATATTTTTGTAAATATCGAACGTATAGAATATGTTCAAATCATCGTTTACTTTTCTATTAATTACTTAAGTTTTACTGACAAGTCAAAATTTATTTGTAATATTTTCTCGAGTTATTTAGTGATCTAGTTTCCACCGGTACCTTGGTTTGAAATAAATGAAAGGCCGCTTAAGGAAGAATGGTTCATAATGAAATTGTTAACGGGAATATTTCAAATGATAGTCTATATCTTATTACACGGTATAATAACGTTATTATACTGACATACCTACTTCCTTTACCAGTTAAAAGAGGCTACTTACGAAATCGGTGTTAATGTCATCTCACTTCATTTATATAAATATAATTTATTATAAATTCTACGTTTATTTAAAATTCCTGACTTTTAATACTTTATAAAAAAGAAAAACAAATCAAATCAAATTACAAATTAATATTTCGGATTGTCTAGTTATTTATTCACTTCTGATTCTTTGTCGTCCATAAAAAGAAAATAATAAGAAAATACAATAATATAAATAAAAAAAAATTTACGTGATTACGTAGAACATGAATGAATTACATTATATCAGAACAGATATCTTTTTTTCTATCAACATACATTGCCCTATTTAATATTTTTCCCGTAATATGTTTACGGTTATATATTATTACAAGTACACTTCCAATGAAATGTTAAATGCAATATTTTCGCATAATATATTTTGTCAGAACGGGCATCATATCTTACTTCAAAATGTGAGTAACTCCTGTATGCTTTGAACTAGTCGTAAGATGGTAATAGCATCGAATGTTATAAAGCTCCCCAACTGTTTTACATGATGAATTTTGCTAGTTTTACAATGATCAGTACCCTTAGTACCAGTTTGTTTTACGTTTAAAGTATTCGAAACGAGTACGCGTTCGGAACTCTGATTGGCCGGCGCCAATGAACCAACCAATCAGAGCGCCGAACGTGTACTCGTTACGATTACTTTAAACGTAAAACAAACTCGTACTAAGGCCTCTGAACAGTACTTCCGATTTGAAAGTAACACTTATACTTAAAGTAACTGAGTGTTTGACCCGAGCAAGTGGGGTATCTAAAAAATTAATTCTTGTTGTATTCATAACAAGTTTATGATATAATAATAATAATAAAGCTTCATTTAATTCCACATTTCTCTTAATTAAATTTACATAACTTAATTAATTTTTTTTTTTTAAATTAATTAATTAAATTTAATCAAATCTAATTTTGTTTTATTTTGCGATTCATCTAATTAAAATCACATTACTCAACCGATTTCTTCTATTAAATCAATTATATAATTGTGCGAGGTGCGCCGGTTAGGTGAAAATATAATAGAAGACGAAAACTATATTATGTTTATGATATACTGCAACATATTGTTAATCCTGCGTTGATGTTTCTGTGTGTAGATTTTGTGTCATACATTAATCGCTGTATCTATAGTCTTCGTATCCTAGAATTGTGGATAAGTTGGTAGATAGAAATTACTGTTCTTATCGAGAAATGTAAATAATGTTTACCTTATAAAAAGACACGCGGGAGATAATGGAAATCTGTGATTCTAGAAGACTGCGCTGGGAATATAAGTAAGTCTCGTTACTTTCATGTCGATGGAATGTAATCGCATTTATATAGCGGAGCGACTAATTATTAACGTACGGCAATCGCGTATTAAATTATGAAATAAAATATACGTGTGCTATATATGTATAACCATTTAAAATCTCTTGCCATCAACTTTTCTATTGTTTTTGCGTACCATAGTAAAATAAGATATTTTAAATTGAATTCAATAAAATCGAAGATTGATTCTTCCAACACTTACTATAGTTACTATAATACTGAAAATATTTCTTAAAAGCGATACAATATAGTTGATAAAGATTTCTTGGATTAAAATAGACTCGTAATTAATAATAAGATCATGGCTAAAAAATCGTTGTTTAATGTATGTAATTAGGTTGGTAAATATATATAAGTCAGAAGGCTTCCTAAAAGCAGGTTCGCCACTGTCTCCCAAAACACATGATATAAATTATATATTAAAGGCAAAATAAAAAACGTGTGCCAATGTTAGGTACTTATTAAAATCAACTTCTATTCCATTTTTTGTGCTAATATTTCGATTACAAAAACATATTAGCAGTACGGAATAGCAGTAGACTTCGTTCTTTCTTCTTCATTAAACAATTTTGAGTAAACATAAATTTAAAATAATTGTAAAATAGGTGTTTTATTAAAATTACCCACTAGCATCAGGTAACATTTATATTTGTAATTTATCACTGTCTTTCTATGTGTTCGATCGTGCGAAAGTTTCGATAATTATGTGCATTTTCTAAAAGAGAAATATTATATTTTTAGCAATTTATTATTACCAAAGTTTGATCACTATTATTTTGTGTTCAGGAAGCTTTCGTTTGTCACTCCATGTGATGATTTATAAAATAATTGTTTTATATCAGTTGGGATGTATGTAAATAGATAGAATGAAAATATTCGTACAACAATATTACATGTAGTGTCGACTGAACACACACACACGTGGATACGGTAACACCTAATTAAACTAAATAACTTTCTTCCTTTAAAATAATTAGCGTATAAGCTTTTTAATAAATAATAAATTGAATTTCTCCACGGACTCGTGTCCGTGCCCTTGTCATGTTACAAGTACATAATTGTCATGGTCTAATATTTTTTTTTATAAATATCTTACATGCTATGCCTACCACTATCACTACATACAATACTTTATGTTGTTACCTAATTATTATAGTCTTATTGACTTAGGCTAACCCTACTAAATCAGCCCACCAGCACGATGAACGAGCCGACCTGTTCCAGTTCACGGGTATGACGTGTAGGCCAGCAATCGGTCCGATCAACCATTTCGTAGGGAACGGAACGACCCAGCCCACAGCGCCACCGACTGTAGAACATTTACGAATGCATGACGTGGGGCACACGCGGCAGTAAGCCAATTGCAGTAGCGTATAAGCTGGATCCATGTGTCCCGAGCAGTTAGCCCTCTGTAAATACATATTTATAATTGATTAGTTAGTATTGTGTGCGTGTACAGGTAATTCATATATCTGTACCAGTTTTTGCCAC